AGAAGGCTCGACTAGCTTTTGCCAACTTGCGTCATTTATGGCGTAGGCGAGATATCGGTCTATCAACCAAAGGACGGGTTTACTGCGCAGCAGTTCGTTCCGTCCTTCTTTATGGCAGTGAAACGTGGCCTGTAAGAGTAGAGGATATTCGTAGGTTACTAGTATTCGATCATAGGTGTCTTCGAAACATTGCTCGTATATCATGGGACCATCGAGTAAGTAACACAGTTGTTAGGAAACGGGTACTAGGTAAGGATGGCAAATCAATTGATGACGTAGTGAAACTTCACCAATTGAGATGGCTGGGACATGTGTTACATATGCCCAACGACCGACTGCCTCGATGTGCGATGTTTTATTGTATAGGAATAGGTTGGAAGAAAGCTCGGGGCCGGTCAGACCAAAACATGACACAAGTCCATGAAGTCACTGACAAGTAGACTGAGTCATGTTGGTAGGTGTAGACTACCTGGTTGGGGACCACGAGATGATAGCAACCGATGGTTAGAGACCCTGAATGACATGGCTCAAAATCGTTTGCAATGGCGCAGGTGCATCCACTCTCTGTGTTCTCCCAAATTCTAATCTTCTGAATTCTTCATGTCCCTTTCTTTTTTCTTCTTTCCAAATTTATTTCACTGTATTATACTCCTTGAATAACATCTCCAAAGCCTAATCTTCCCGATTACTGCTTATACTCTTATTAACTCTAACACTACGGGATTTGAATCGACAACTGAATCTCTGTGCTAATGTGGTGTGGCAACTCGAACTGATGTACGTATGTACGAAGTTCTACGTTGTTACTGACTGACTGACTGGTTTTTCAGCGAACATGAATCCACAGTGAAGAAAAATTGTCAATACACTGTTTTTATCTTACGGGCCAAAAGTGCCCGTTATTACCTTCAGTTTGTGTTTCCTAACCGGAAGGATCTTAAACGTCATTGATTCGTTTTCTCTTTTAGCTTACTATTTTGTGATGCTTTGCAAGGAAGTTTTGTACTATATGTAGTGCGCTTGAGTTGAGTGCTTGTTATTCGTTCTTCTGAGCTTCATGTGATTTTCCTCTAATTAACAGGACTTGAGAGTAGAGAAATGGTTTAGCTTCGTCCTATTACTACGTTGCTGGTTTACGTTCCGTTCGCTGGTTCCAAGGTGGTATCATAATATCTCGAACACAGCAGTACTTCTTGTTTCAAAATTCAATTCGAGTCCGTAAAACAACTAAAATTATTCTTTTACCATTAGTTCATGGTAATATTCTGCACACTTTTTTTACCCAAGTAAGTAGTTATATATATATCTTTAATATGGGAATACTGAATGCTCGACTCTCCTCAAATCAGCACTTATCATTGATAATTAGCTTCAATTTCAATATGTTTAAATCTACCACCAAGCACGAAACCACCTAACGTTTCGGTAAAATTTCGTTTTTATCACTTGTAGTGAGAGCAATCTTAGTTAAGGTTGTGGCTGGGAAATAAAATTAGTAATACAAATCATCATTGGTAATAAAGTCATCGCTGATTAGTTGGTCTCTGGAAATTTTAATTTATATTTAGTCTTTATCGCCCCCAAACCTTTCAATACGTTCCAGGATGGGGAGTGTCCCCTCTTTCTTCGGCGTGGAGCGCTCTCATATACTCATGCTTCTTTAACTTTTGTTAATGAATTGATAATCGCTCCCTTTACGTGATAGGATGTATTACATCATAGTGAATGTTTTTGGCTTAACTCGAGTTGGTAGGTACTAAGGCTGCACCTAGATGAGTTAGAGGATCCTGGTTTAAAACTAATGATTTACGCGACTCCAGGATCCTGAGAAAAAGAATGATGTATAAAACTACTTAGGATACTGACTACCAAGGGATTGCATCTTATGATGTTTCTTCACTGCTTTGTGGCCTTGATCTTGTAGTGTCAGTTGCTATGTTAAGCCACATAGTTTATTCTAGCATCCTGACAGGCCAATTTATTAATCACATTTAGATCTTGTTGATTATACTCTTATCAACCCTGATTGTTTTTATACAAACGTATATGTGTGCGTTTCATATCTTATTCATTACATGTCTGTAACTTATTTTTGGTCGGACTATAAATGTCGATTCACACTTTGTTAAATTGAGTTGGCTCACTCGCCTTATCCACTGTGCATCATATAGTTTCGCTTCTCTCTCTCCTCTTCACTTCCTTTGCTCCGTCTCCACGGCTGTCTGTTCAAATCAACGACTGTATGAAACACACGTATTAGAAATCCATTCTCATATCTGACTTATTTAGTTCCGTTATTCACCAACGGGGATTAGGTCGATAATTAAACACGAGGATTGGAGACATGTATAAATCGATAACGGTAATCACATGAACAAATTGGAGTTAGATATTCCATGGCCACTAGAATCTCCAAGGCAAACACTCAAGGAGTGTCCCAACATGTAAACGGATTGGTCCAGTTCAGATAACCGAACAGTATCCTGTTTCACTCACATAATAATCATAATTAACTTGTTTCAAACGGATTTATTTAATAAAGCTACAACTTTGTATTCTATTTTGCTTCCAGTCTGTATTTACTTTGTTTTGCAACTCGCTCAGAAGCTCGTTTTTTTTCAAAATTTATATTTTTAGAATAAAAGTCAAAGAAAACCCTGTTATATTTTCTTTTTACACTATTCACAAAAGTGAGAGAAACTCCTTTAATTGAAAAAAAGTTCTCGGCTGTATTTCCTCATATATCCCATTCTTGTCCGCTTTTCTTCTTTCTTGTTATCCTTCTCTTCTCTTCGTTGTTTCTTCTTAATGTTATCGCTTAATTTGTGCCCTAATGCATGTGTATGAAATCAATAATTAAGAGTTCCGTTATCAGAAAATCTGTAACATAACTTACTGAAAGGTGAATGAGCACTGCTGAGGAGTCCCACACTAGGACAAAACGACCGTTCAGTGCTTCCAGGTTTTCCATGGTGGTCTAGCTTTAATTGATTCATGAATTCAACTATTAAATAAATAAATGCCATTCAATTATTGGCCTATTTTTGTTACTTATAATTTACATGAATTAACTTATTATTATTAGTCGAATAAAATTATTCTACTTTAAAAACTAATCACGATCAGTTTATCATCATTGATTAGGTTCTTTTTCTTTTTGTTATCATATTCAATCGATTACTTAAATAATTATGATCAAAGTGATTGGAATGAAAATAAATCTTACACGTATTACAACAACTAACAGATTACTACTTCCTTTTTAATCATAATTAAACCAATCTTTTTAAACTTGTTCAACTTTAATGTTTGGAAGAGTATTTATGTGTGTGTGTGTGTGCGTGTGCATGGTTTTTCAATCCATAATTATCTTGAACTTAAAAATGGAATACTCTTTGTAGGTAGTAGCAGTTAACTAATTAGTTTTTCTGCAATATCATCAACATATTCAATATGTAATAGTTGAGTCAATTAAAGCTAAACCATCATGGAAAACCTAAAAGCACTGAATGACCATTTTGTCCCAGTATCAGACTCATCAACAGTGTGTATCTACGATCTCATATTAATATGAAACAGCCGTTCAGTGTGCTTCCAGGTTTTCCATGATGATCTAGCTTTAATTGACTCATGAACTGAACTATTAATTTACTACAATCTCCACAAAAAATCCCCATTTGATAATATTCAATATTGTTAAATTAGTAACACATTCTATAATTCATTACATTTAACAGTATAAAATAATAAGAAAAAAAGATTTTATTCGTATTATACAAGTCTTAATTTATGTTACATTTATTCATGTAGATAATTTATGTACAACCTAATAGTAAGTTGATTTTAATAAATAGCGCCTTTATTTGTTTTTGTTTCCAATATCAAACAAGTTTAATCACATGCTTTTAAATTCAGATAATGTAATTAATTTGAATAAAATGTTTTCTTAATTCTATTTCATATGAATGAATGAGAAAAAAAAGGTGTAGGCTATTGTTCATAGTTTACCTAAAACTATTCACTATAGACAGTGGATTAATATAAATAAATTGTATAGATTGATTAAAACCAATGACATTTTAATGGTTCCACAGAATAATTTTAAAGTTGAAATTAAATTTCATATAATTTTTTTCCTATTGATAAATCTGAACGAAACAATAACAACAAAAGTAGTAGAATAGGGTGAATTCATTTATTTAGTGGATTCTCATCAGTTACTCACAACTTACATAAAATAGTAATAATTATTTATTATCAATTGACATGCTTCATATTTTTTGGCGAAAATTAGTAGAACAGTAACAACAACAAACATGAGAGAAAGATAAAATGGTAAAGTGGATGAGTATTTACATATTATCAAATGTGAAAATTGTAGAAGGAAATTACTAGAGCACACGATCCTAGTGACTGAACATTGATATCACAGTTACGTCATAACAACTATGAAATTGGATAGATTAACAGAATGAGTTGAACAAAGCTCAGAAGTGACACAAGAATTAAGGAAAGATATTTTATAGTGAGAATATCAAATAAGACATTACGTAATTGAATAGTGAACAGTTTCCAATGCTGGTCTAACATGGTTTGGTTCATGATTTCAAGGAGAAATGGAAGTTATCAGGGTAATAAGAAATTAACAAATGTATTCTTCCAATACACAGTTTTGATTTTCAATAGAGATGGTTTCTGCATAACGTAGTAAATTTGAAGCTGTTTGAGCATTGAATATTATGAATGATTTTACAATTCTAGCATTATGTCCATCATCGAACAGATGACAGACAAAAGCACTATTTACAATACGTTGACATTTCAATCTGAATTTCTGTGGAGTGTGATACGAGATGTGAACAGGAACAGTCCTTCAGTTCTTTCAATGTAAGGAGTTCGGTATGAACGTGTAAAGCCGTTCATGCTATTGGAAGTGAGATGGGATGAGAGTTAGTTAATTTTTATTTGTTTGAACGATCGAATTGTTTGATCAAGCGAAACTAGTATATGGCGGCTGAATTCGTCGTGTTCAGTACATCATCCAGTCTATAATTAATCATGTTAGCTATTTCATCATCATCATCATCATCATCATCATCATCATCATCATCATCATCATCATCATCATCATCATCATCATCATCATCATCATCATCATCATCATCATCATCATCATCATCATCATCATCATCATCATCATCATCATCATAATCATCATCATCATCATCATCATCATCATCATCATCATCATCATCATCATCATCATCATCATCATCATCATCATCATCATCATCATCATCATCATCATCATCATCATCATCATCATCATCATCATCATCATCATCATCATCATCATCATCATCATCATCATCATCATCATCATCATCATCATCATCATCATCATCATCATCATCATCATCATCATCATCATCATCATCATCATCATCATCATCATCATCATCATCATCATCATCATCATCATCATCATCATCATCATCATCATCATCATCATCATCATCATCATCATCATCATCATCATCATCATCATCATCATCATCATCATCATCATCATCATCATCATCATCATCATCATCATCATCATCATCATCATCATCATCATCATCATCATCATCATCATCATCATCATCATCATCATCATCATCATCATCATCATCATCATCATCATCATCATCATCATCATCATCATCATCATCATCATCATCATCATCATCATCATCATCATCATCATCATCATCATCATCATCATCATCATCATCATCATCATCATCATCATCATCATCATCATCATCATCATCATCATCATCATCATCATCATCATCATCATCATCATCATCATCATCATCATCATCATCATCATCATCATCATCATCATCATCATCATCATCATCATCATCATCATCATCATCATCATCATCATCATCATCATCATCATCATCATCATCATCATCATCATCATCATCATCATCATCATCATCATCATCATCATCATCATCATCATCATCATCATCATCATCATCATCATCATCATCATCATCATCATCATCATCATCATCATCATCATCATCATCATCATCATCATCATCATCATCATCATCATCATCATCATCATCATCATCATCATCAACTATAGTGAACTCAGTTCTCTCCATTCTCATTTTCCCATACATACTGATAAACGTTTGTGGACAACCATTATTTTACATACTTTTTTTTCAAAATCGTATGTTTTAGTATTTTCCTTCTACAATTTTCCTTCATCCTCAGGTTGTTTCTGACTTTTTCTCAACTCACTCTGTTAATCTTTCCAATTTCATGGTTGTTATGACGTAACTGTGATATCAATGTTCAGTCACTAGGATCGTGTGCTCTAGTAATTTCCTTCTACAATTTTCACATTTGATAATATGTAAATACTCATCCACTTTACCATTTTATCTTTCTCTCATGTTTGTTGTTGTTACTGTTCTACTAATTTTCGCCAAAAAATATGAAGCATGTCAATTGATAATAAATAATTATTACTATTTTATGTAAGTTGTGAGTAACTGATGAGAATCCACTAAATAAATGAATTCACCCTATTCTTCTACTTTTGTTGTTCTTGCTTTACTCAAATTACATTAAATGAATTTGAATAATTGTATAGAATACAAAACTAATAAGTATGTATTTTTTGAAATCAAGGAAAACGATATCCATACACTCGAGTAATAAACTTTTAAATACAGTCATAAAAACCGGTTGCTAATTATTAGCTTTCAGTCATTTATTAAATTATACATGTATGTGACAGATGTAATAATTTAATTCTTATTTTATTCTCAGTCCATTATCAGACGTCAGTTCACAGCCACTTTCTAAATGTTCGCCTTGATAATTTGAATAATTTACTGCAAAACTACCATAATTTCAAGTAGAAATTATTGGGACAATAATTTACAACAGCTGGAACAACATAGAACACAAATGGCATAAATATGATGAGTATTTCGACGAACGAAAACAACGAAACGCATACTATTGTATTGAATACAATGCTAAAAAATATATCTTGCACTAACTGATAGGTGAGTAATAACCAATGTCATGCTACCTAGATTCTGGTGCTAAATGAGTTTTATCAATAAAGTTGTAACATAGCTAACCGCATACCATATGACGATGTAGTATGTGACTGAAGTTAATTAAGCGAAAGTCATGAATACAGGTTTTGTGTCATCTGGTACCTGTTAGCAAAGAGCATTTAAAAATTTGAAGGAATTGATTTTACCACTGAGATTTGAACCAGTGTCATAGTCAGGAACACTGTCACTGGTCCAGATACACATTGTGACGTTTTTGAGTAAAAAGAATCAGGAAAACACAGAAAGAATTGGTTCGCTAAAGATGAGAACTACAACTAAGTAACCAGTAACAACTAGAAAAAAGTTTGTGTTCTGATTGTTGAATTTGTTTTATCAATGATTGTCTGTTTCCACTTGCAGTTCCCTTAGCTTAATTTTCCGATTTAATATCCTGGTCCAAAATTTACTCTCAACTAAATCAACTGAAAAACGTTCAAATGTGATTTTAAATTTTATTGATCGTTCCAAATTTCTTTTCTTGTTACAAGTGATCAGATGAATTTAAATAGAATGATTTCATTTTATGTAAATGTTATTGCGGTTGTTTGATTTTATTGACAATTTGGCTTTGTAATGGACTATTTTTTCGGAACTTATTTCTTATCTTTATGTGAAATAAATTCCTCAGAAATTAAGCACTAGATTTGGCAAGAGTAATTTTGACGTTTTTTTCGGAAAGATCAGTTTCGAACAGTTAGGTCATAGTTTCTATATATAAGAAATTGTTCTGTCACACTACGTACAATTATTGATATTTTGGATTAGATTTAGGTACATATCGTTTGGGGAATCCCTGTTGCAAACCAAAACCGCGAACAATGGAAAAGTTTTTTATATATATATTGTATTAGGAATAATGATTAAGAGTTAACTTCCGTCCTAACAAACCTATACAAACGATTCACAAAGAGAAGTTGGGATCGGCAGAACGTGTCATCATTAACTCCATTGAATTTATTTTCCTTACTTTTCAATTCAACCATTGAATCATTGATAATGATATCATGCTCATTGAAAGCAACGGCACTCTTGTATTTAATTGCATAAAATGATTAGTGTGTACACTGCTAAATATAAGTGGAATAAGACAAAACAACTATTTGATTTGTTGATTTGTAATAAAAATGGTACACTTATCATAAACTACTGGATAAAATTATGATATTTCAACGTCTTTTGACTTGGTGTTAGATGAATAGCTTTCACGAGTTAACACAAGTTTAAATAGTTAAAGGAATAAATCGGATCAGACATTCAATACAAGTTTATGCATGCTAACATCACATCATTTAAATCAAAACTAGTTTTACCAATTAATATAAGCCAATGTTGAAATCTGTTTTTAAGTTCTAAATAGTCTTAAATAAAGTAAGATCAATAAGAGTTTTAAAAAAGTTAGCGAACTTACATAGTATCAGCTCCAAACAGCCTATAGGGTAGAGAATAAGTGATATAGGTATGAAAGGGTATTGAGAGATAAAAGAGAACAACTTACGTGTCATTAATTCAGTAGGCTGTGATGTGAAGTATTAAAATAAAATATAAGAAAATGAAAACAGAAAAATGAACATCTTTTCAAGTGAAAAACCAAGAGCGGAAAAAAGATTTGTAAATAATAATAACTAAAAGGTTATGTGTAAGGAAAACCACCATTTTCAATGTCAATAAATGTGTAGCATCTGACAGTTTCGAGCATTTTTCTATTCATTTAGTTGACCAAAACTTCATATAAAACAGTAATCTTCACTACGGATTTCATTTCAATCATCTACAACTATCTAGATATATATTCTATGAACACAATTCTATAGTACATCCTAACTTGTCGGGTAAAACAAAACCCAAAATAATGTGTAAGTTAGAGCTTGAAATGAAATCTTTGGTGAAAATTATGCTCCTATATGTAACATTTACTCACTAAAAAGTGGAAAAATTCTAGATACTGCACATACAATGACTACTGAAGAACGGATGCACTAACAATCCACGAACATGTATCGTATATCAAGATTGTGTGATTTCATTTTTGAAAACGATCATAAAAGATTATATGATATATAAGTCGAAACTAAACATTAACAAACAAAACAGTGTTAAATAATTTTTTATCAGTCACTTTTTAATTCCAAAAAATAAACGAGAGACATTTTTGAGCATTAATTCTTACATCACTTTTAAAATTTCATGCAAGAGAGAATTGTACCTTAGAGTTATTATTTGTTTTAATCTTTGTTAAGAAATCAAGTTGGTTTTGACTTTCTCCATAGAATAGTTACGAATATTTGAAATGCAACTAAAAGAAACCCATGTTTTATTCTCATCAGAGTTTTAATGGTTCATTTATAATTTTTACAAGTGTGTTCACTTAGCGTCTTTCGACATAAGTAGTATTTAACATCAATCAAAAGTGGAATATCTAGCAGCAGAAGGCTGAGAAGACCAAATCGAAGAGAATGGGAACAGACAGTAATTGTAATAACAATGAAAGGTTAATGAAGTTTGAGACAATTGATGGAGGATTTTCAAATGAGGCTTTGAATGTATGGTTTTCACATTTTACGACAGAACTTTCTGTAATTTTGTAGTAAACAACAAATCAGTTGTCTCCACATGAGTTCTTGTTCATTACACATACAGTACACATTCATATATATATATGATAAACCCTAAATTCCACAACATTAAAAGGTCTCTAAAACTCTATTTTAGTTTAAACATTTTAATACTAACCCATGGAACATACTTTCTTTGTTTTTGATATGTCACTGAGTGATAATTCAGGTTTGGGAAATACTAATAAATTATTTTTACCACTGAGTCCAAATAGTTCCTAGCTTGTGTACCGGGTAGATCAGTTGATAACGATTGACGTTTGAATAAAAAGGTATTGGATTGGAGTCTCAATAAAGACAATAACACTTGGATCCAAACACATTCAGCTTATGAGCCCCATGTGGAACAAAACATTTGTTCTGGATCCCACTGCTGGCTAGTACTGAACTTTAATAAAAACTTGTTATTAAATACCATTACCGATACTATCTGCTCAGAATGCACATATGTACATATAAACTGATCAATTGATTTCCTTAATTCTAACAATGAGAAAATACAAACCCTAATAAATAATAAATAGAACAGAAACTGTTTGTCAAAAAACAAAACTTAACAATTAATACATATCAGCTGGAAAAGTAAGAAGATTTTTTCTAAGCAAATGACACTTGCTAAAATGTACAAAGGTAAAATGTTGTATATAAAATATACGAAAATGTACTCAATCACAAATAAATCTACAGCATATCTACATCCAAATAAAGTAGAAAGTAAATGAATTTAAACAAGTCCACTAATAATTTATAAAGAAGAAAAGAATGAAATATAAATTAAAACAATCAACGAAAGATATTTGAAAGTCTGGTCATATCAAATTTAATGACGGTACGAATATGATTTTATTATTAAATTAGCTAAGAGAATCTTTTATTTTCAAAATGTTCCATTGTTTACCTAACATCTATAGAAACAATTGAACATTTCTAACTGATTTATAGTTAGTAATATTAATTTCTTTATATTCTGAATTTGTTTATAAAATAATTAAAACCATATCAACAATGACAAAGATGAAGAAGATTAATAGTGATAACAATAAAAACCATTTTCATGTTTGAAACTCTTTGAATGTATTCACAATGAATCTTTTCTTTTGAGTAATATTGAAGTAATAATGAACAGCCAACATCTTGACTACTAATCTACAGTCTAATCGCCTTAATTTTCTTTATCAATGAGTTTCATTTTTGTAATTGTCTATTACTGAATGATACCAGTAGATTATATAAACATTGGTTGAACTTTGAATACCAGAAGTTTATAAAGCTTGGGTATCAAGTATCTAGGACATATATTAATCATGAAAGTATATTTGAAAAAATCTCAACACTTGAATTCAACTAGCTCCAACGTTTACCTATGATAACTTGAATCAGACTACTTAAATAAAGCAATAAATGTACTTAAAG